AATTGGTTTCTAAGGTCTTCTGAGCAGATGTAAAATAAGTTGCTTTAAGTATTGTTTACTTTTTGTTATTATTATCATTATTATTATTATTATTATTATTATTATTATTATTATTATTATTATTATTATTATTATTATTATTATTATGTTCATTACTACTATTACTACTATTACTGTTACTACTTCTATTACTATTACTACTTCTATTACTACTTTCTAATACTATTACAACTACTACTTATTACAACTACTACTATTACAACTACTACTATTTACAACTACTACTATTACAACTACTACTATTACAACACTACTACAACTACTACTCTACTACTATACTACTACTACTACTACTACTACTACTACTACTACTACTACTACTACTACTACTACTACTACTACTACTACTACTACTATACTACTATACTACTATTACTACTAGTACTACTAGTACTATTACTACTATTACTACTACTACTATTACACTCCTATGCTATTACTACTACTACTACTATTACTACTACTGCTATTACTACTACTACTGCTATTACTACTACTACTATTACTACTATTACTACTACTACTACTATTACTACTACTACTATTATTACTACTACTATTACTACTACTATTATTATTATTACTATTACTATTATTATTATTACTACTACTATTATTATTACTACTACTATTACTATTACTACTACTATTACTATTACTTACTACTATTACTATTACTTCTACTATTACTATTACTTCTACTATTACTATTACTTCTACTATTACATTACTTCTACTTTACTATTACTTCTACTATTACTACTACTTCTACTACTACTACTACTACTGCTGCTGCTGCTATTATTACTACTATTACTACTACTATTACTACTACTACTTACTATTACTACTACTATTACTACTACTATTACTACTACTACTATTACTACTACTACTATTACTACTACTACTATTACTACTACTACTATTACTACTACTACTACTTACTACTACTACTACTACTACTACTTACTACTATTACTACTACTACTACTACTACTACTACTACTACTACTACTACTACTACTACTACTACTACTACACTACACTACCACTACACTACCACTACTATACTACTACTACTACTACTACTACTACTACTACTACTACTACTACTACTTTACTACTACTTACTACTACTACTATTACTACTACTACTACTACTACTACTACTACTTACTTACTACTTACTACTACTACTATACTACTACTACTACTACTACTACTATTACTACTACTACTATTACTATTATTACTACAACTTTACTACTACTACTACTATTACTATTATTACTGCTACTACTATACTATTATTACTACAACTATTACTACTACTACTATTACTATTATTACTACAACTATTACTACTACTACTATTACTATTATTACTACAACTATTACTACTACTACTATTACTATTATTACTACAACTATTACTACTACTACTATTACTATTATTACTACAACTGTTACTACTACTACTATTACTATTATTACTACTACTACTGTTATTACTACTACTACTAGTACTACTACTATTATTACTACAACTACTGGTACTACTATTACTACTAATATTACTACTACTACTACTATACTACTAATATTACTACTACTACTACTATTACTGCTACCACTTTTACTACTACAACTATTGTGGCTACTACTGTTATTACTACTACTATTATTATTTATTGTTATTATTATTATGATGATTATTATTATTTTTATTTTTTTTAATTATTATTATTTTTTTACACTGCTTTTTTATTACTCTTACTACTACAGCTACTATTTTTTTAATGTATTTGTTTACCCATTTTTCTCATTGTCATTATCAGCTACAATATTTCTTCTGTTATTACTATTGTCTATATCATTATTTTCATCATGGTTTTCCTTGCATTCATGCTACCTTTGTCACTTTTACTAAATTTATATTATTATTCATGTACAGTTTTCTGCAATTGTGAATACTACATTTATTGTTCATTGCCTATATTCATTACTTTTTTGAGGATGTAATGAATTTGACATCATTGATATATGGGTTAAGTTATGTTTTCAAAGAAGCAAACCTAGGAATTTTGGTATATATGTTTTTGTGATAATGTTATAAATATTAAGGATTATCTTTTGCTGTCCATGTATTGTCTAGCGTGATACATATTGCTGCTCTATTGCATTTAATATTCAGGTCTCTGTATGACTAGATAAGATATATTCTTTTTTAGATTTCAAAGAATATAAGTTAGTAAAGCACTGCAGTTTCAGGGAGGAACGACAGAAAGGGATATTATTTTTCCAATAATTATTATAATTTTGATATTTTATAAGTGTAAGTGAAATTCATCAACAGATTTGATTTAAAGAAATTAAAGTGCTAATTCCCATGTCTCTGAGGGAAAGATAGTAACTTTTTCATGTGTTTTTTACGATCATGCTCTAAGTATCTTTTTGGATGATCAACTGTGGAAGTGGCAATGTATATTGTGTTTTCATTTATGCAGTCTTGGATTAAGTAAATTTTAGAGTATATTGCACATGCCAAAAATCATATTTTCACATTGAACAAAATGGTAAGTATTACAGGAACTTGTCTGTGAGGATTTTTGTCACCACTTTTTTTAAGTATGAGGTTTTTGGACCTTGACCAGCATAAGTTCCATTGTACTGAAGACTAGTTACGATGGTTGATCTCTTGTTCCCTTGTCCTCATCTTGAACTGCTGTTACTGAGCTTGCTTGCAGGAGCATTATGCTTAATGTTGCAGAAGTATATAGCAACATATATTAGATGTTTTGTTAAAAGAGTTTGCATTATAGTAAATGTTACTAAATCAAAGGGTTTGCAGATATTTGACTTTATAAACATTAAATAAGAAAATTCTGTTTTTCAACATATATTTACAAAAGTGTGTTTGATTTTCTGATGTGTAATTGCTCTTTCCAAATATTTCAGCTTCAGCCCCACCCCTGGAGTGACCTTGTGATACTACTGCTGTAAAGTGGCCACCCTGTGGGGCGCTCCTGACTGCCACTCCCTGTATGCAGCCTTCGTCAGTGCTGACAGCCAATCTGTGCAACCCTACATAGGTGCATGTTGGCTCTTCACAAACTAATCAAACAACAGCAGTGCATACTTTAAGACAAGCAGATTGCAGGAAAACAATGCTATATAGTGATATTCAGTCTTTTGGCCATGAAGATAATGTGCTCTTAAACTTGACAAAAAAGCACTGGAATAAACAGTGATAAAGTGGTCAAGGAAAAACAAAGTATAACATTTTGTTTTGTGATGGAGCCCTGGCCTACCGCCACTTGACTCCATGATAAGGTTTTCTGTGTCAGGCCTTAGATAGAAATCTGTATATGATGTCACATGATTAAGGAAGGAGAGACAGGACAACTGGCATAGAAGGATTGCATATAGTGAAGAAATATTTATCGTAAGTCTAGTGATTTATTATTGATTGTATTTACTGAATGTTAAGGCATGAATGACCAAGTGACATGAGGGATCCTGAGCGTTGTGAATGGGTGTTGTAATGTTGCAGTGAGGAAAGAATAGTGGTGCTTTGTGAGTTTTTTATTTTTTATTTTTCTTCTCTCATTACACTATAAAAAGAAATAATGGAATGCGGCATGGAAGCCATCTCCAGTGTGGGTTATACGCCAACTGTACAGAAATATATGGGTTTCTCTCAGCCCTTTGAAAACAGTTCATGTGTGTGAGACATAGTAAACACAGTTTGATAATGCTTTTTTATTTGCATATATGTGCTCATGTATAACACTGTTATAAAAAAGTTATATGATTGGTGGTATTATGTGATCAATAAAGTCATTGTTTATCAGACTTATTACAAGTTGAATCCTTTAATATAGGTTGGAGATTTTTGGTACTGCATTATATTAATTGTTATATAAGATTTTGTTCAACTTTTATGAAGTCAGAGAAGTTTGAATTTTTATATCATTCCCTGTAGACCTTTGCATTTATCAATGATGGTGTTAGAGTAAGAGTTTGATGTATAGATATTCCAGTTGGCAAAGGTAATTGTAGGTTTTTTGAATAATGTACAATATCGAAAATACAGGCCAAAGGGTTATTCTGTCATTTGATTACATCTCTGGAAATTATTTATAAAGCTTGTAGAGTGTTTGGCACCGGAAGAATGCTGCATTATATACTGCACAGTCAGCTCTGTTGGAGCACCAAGACAAGCATCTGTAAGAGGGAACTATCATTCAATTTTTACACATGGTTGTATTTAATTAAAGGATAAAAACTTAGCTCTCAGGTTGGAGATGACATGTTTTATATTTCATGTCCTCTTTTTTCCCCACCTGGTAAATAGTACCAGATTCCTTTCCACCCACCACCATGTCCACTCCCAGATGTTTCCTGTTTGTTCACTTAGTGCCTGTCCATTTAGTAGCCCAGACTACATCACTCATTTCTGTTCTTATTACATATCTGTAATTATGTATCTTCCTGAAACCTCTTCCTTTTATTGTAGTGTTTTTCTTCTTTTCATCACGTTTTTATGAGTTCTGAACAAGTAGTGTTTTATTTTAATGAGGTGTATCATTCCTGTGTCCTTCAAAAAACAAATGAATAAATAAATGACATTGTAAATTCATCTGGGATCCTTGTAGGCTTACCCAAGAGACCCATGTTTATGCTAACCTTCCCTGCTCCCCATATGCTAACCTCCCTTTCCACCCTCATGCTCACCCCGAACCTGATCTGTACGCTCACAATAGCCCCTCCCAACACCTCTCATGGTGCCCCAAGTCCACATTATTAGGGAGTGCTGGAACAGATTTGTCATCAGCTCAAAGTATTTTTTATGTTTGAAATAAAAGGCATTGCAAGAAAATGGAAATACTGGTGAGCCTGACAGTGGTATATACAGTAACTTTGGGCCTTGGCTTTGCTCCCACTTGGTTTGGTTAGATACTGAAATGCTGTCTGTACTATAATTCATCAGTCATACTTTGATACAATTGGTGTATAAGAAAAATAGTCTCTCACAATAAGAGATTACATCTTTGATCTTTGATTCGACAAGGGAGCCTAACTGATGCTCATTGTGAAGTTCCTGCACTCACCATATGTGTAGAAGTGTGTCAAAGTGTATGTATGTATGACGGATGGAAACAAATTTTTTTATATATTTCACTAACTTGTGTTGGTAAGGAAAGATGCACTCATGTTTACCATGTGCCCTGTGTCATGTAGCATTAAGCGAGTAAAAATTTTGTACTAAATATTTATCTTCATATCTTGCAGAAATACCACAAACTTAAGAGCTTTGGTGGGTTTTAAAATACCCAGTTCCAAAGCATGTTCAGTCCTCATTATGGAGTATATACAAGTTGTTCTAAACAGTAATATGCAGTGTTCATATTTGTCAGGGATCACAGGATTCCTAGCATGTGAAAAAGAAACTTTTTTTTCTCTCTCTCTCTCTTTTTTTTTTTTTTTTTTTTTTTTTTTTTTTTTTTTTTTTTTTTTTTTTGCTATGGTCACTTGATTAATTTTTGATATTCTAGCATTCCAAAGAGAAAGTTATGGACCAAAGAGTGCAATAGCCATAGCTTACTGTTTTGATCTTTGCCCACTTGTGTTAATCTACTTTCTCTCATGCTTTTTAGGTCAGTGAATTATACTTTACAGTCAGATATTTAGAACAAAAAGTGTTTGTATATGTTCATTAAAATGGCAGTATTGAAATTCTTGATGTTCTTTCATTTTATGAAAAAGATCACACTTGGGTAATAATTGGTGCTCTAACTATACCTGGATAAGAGCATGAGAAGGAAGATAAATGTGGATCCCAGGTATCATTATGTTTTTGAAAATTGACCTATCTATGAATTACAGTTTTATCATGTTTTTTTTTCTGATGTTGCTAAATATTTTGATTTTACTTAGTATGATTTTCAAAAATCCATTTGATCCCCCGTCCAAATTTCGGCCATATTTCTTGCCCTTTGTCTAGCCCTGAAGAGCACCCAAGTGACCTTCCAGAGATACCCAGAAAATTGTGATGCAGGTATGGCCATGTCTTTAGTGCTGATGGATCAGTGCTAAATCTCATCACACAAAACCAAATGGGAAATGTTTTAACACATTTTAAAAGACATTCCCAAGAAGATAATGAAGGTCTCTGAGTGCTTATGGTCTGAAGAACTATAACCATCAGAGTTGTGTCTAAAGTTAAAGTAATTATTTATTGATATTTTCCCCTATTTTGAAGCACAAACTTCAAGAATCTTGGTTTATAGAATTTTCAAAATTAATTTCAGACATAACTTATTGAGTTTTTATCTGATTTTATCTGTAAAATGAAACAGTGGGAAATGCACATATATTTATGATTGTTTAATTGTGTAATGTAATGCTTATATATGATTTCAATATTTGTAAGTGCTGAATTAGACTAATTACATTAATAATGTCTTATTTAAAAAGTTATTGAACATATTTCAGCATTGCACATACCAAAGCATCTGATAAATTCAATTCTAAGTTGTATGAATATTTATGAAAGGAATCAGAAGAAGCATCAGTATTATAACAGCTATTAGACACAGCTCTCTAGCTTCCCAAAAGTACCTAAAGATGCTCCATATCAAGACGTGAACCATATGTTGGCTGTAAAGTGTATATTGGGCATTATGATTGCACAATCCATCACAGACTTCCCAGGACAGCCTGAAATAATAATACATTGATATAGGTTTGCCTTTATTCTGTATTTTAAAAGTAACTTGAAATATTTTATGTACAGCCTCTTTATTCCCTATTGTCAGTTTGATGTTCTGTACCTAGCCGGAAGGTAATATTGCACAGTGCTGTTTTGTGCAACCTTACTGCTAGCTTAATGATAAGAATCACCAGAAGCCATTAAGACAAATTTTCAAGTCCCTGATTTGAGAATTGACTGGGAAGAATCATATGGTTTAATCTTCTAAATGATTCATATCACAATGTTAGTATAAAAAAAAGAAAAAGAATAAAAGGAAAAAAATCAATAGAAGAGAAGTTTGTAAAATCTAGCACTGCGTAATAAGACCATAGATACACACTAATCCTTTATGTTTACATGATGCATCTGGGCATAAATTAGTTTTAATATGTTTCCATATATGTAGTATGATCATTGTTACAGTCAGTACACACTTGATATTAACGTGAGTGACATCATTTCTTAGAACTCAGTGTTTTATGATCACTCCATATGTTTAATAAATAAATGATGTGTGCTTTTTACTTCTACTCCTTTATTTATCCCTAAGATGTTGATAAAGTACCCCCCAAAAAAAGGTGTTAAAAATCAGTGTTGATGAATTACTGCCATGGTTCATATTGGTGTGCTGTGTGGTGCAGTTGTAGGATTCTTGTATACTAATCTTCCAGACCTGGAAT